TTTTATATAATTGTATATATATAGTTTTAAAAATTTTAATAAAAAGAATATAGTAATATAGTGAAGTAATCATATTATTAACTCCAAGTAATAGATCTAGAGTTTAAATCTTAGTATCAATAAAAATTTAAAATTCTTTCTGTATTATAGTTAATTATTTTTTACTATTAGTTAAAATTAAATATCTGTTATCTGTATTATACTAATATAACTAAAAGGTTACATGACATTTGTACAATGATTGTATCTTGTATAAAAGAACACAAACTAATACCAAGCAATATAAACTCATAATAAGTCTTTGTAACTATATAAATCATAGAAACTAAAAAAAACAGAAGTTTACTTAAAAGATCTGAGTAGAAAAGTAGTTTAAACTTTTAATAATACTATTGTAAAAACTAAATCTATAAAATAAAATTAGGAGGTGTGGTGACCTAGTGAAGTAGTCAGGTTGTCAACTCTCCAAGTAGTAGGTTGGGTGTTCAAATCCTATTGACAGTAAAAATTTGGATAATCACCTATGTAATATTCATATTACAGCAACTGTTATTAATGATTGGGTTAGGATACCTGTAATGGCGGTCACACCAGTATGACTGGCAGGTCATGGAGCATTTGTGTAACAGGTCACATGACATTGTCCTTTAGGACAAGGTTGTGGTTATATGAAGGAATGCAAACCAGCAATTAAGTGGTGCAAACACTAAATAAGTTCCTGTGACCATGTAAATCTGTTGAAATTGGGTAACAAGAAGTCTATTTGGGAAGACCCAAGTAGAGAAGTAGCCAGATCTTTGATGGCCCTACTGTAAAGACTAGCTTTATGAAACAGATATCAAGGTTGAAGTAGCCGGATAGGCAAAAATCTCTAGGTGGAGAGTATCACCAACCAGGCTGCTGAATTGAGCTAGAGGAAAGGATATCAGGCCAATTTGATATACCAATGGACCAGTCATAAGTCCTATTAGGCTATCTGGATTGGGAGTTTGGTGAATCAGCAGAAGTATACTAAAGTATTTTGTATATGCTGTGAAGTAAATGCTAGGGTTTGTGTAAACTCTACAAGAGCATAGTGGTTTAATGATTAGTCCTAACCATAAGTGTTGGTTCGGCCATAGTGATACCTAGATCAGCTGTAAAAATAGGTACAGAAGGCTCTGAGAGGTTTATCTCAAGGATAAATTAGTTCTAAGGTTGTGACAATGATCTGAACATCTGAGATAACCCAGTGATGTTAATACAGGTTACAGGTTCAGAGGGTTTAAAGTAGAACACCCAAGCAGAGGTGTTAGGTATAGCAATTAGTAGGAAACCTTCAGGTGGACTCTTTAAATAGGTAATATAGAAAAGTTATATGTGTAGCCAATTGTACACTCTTCTGTAGTAGTTCATTGAACCACAATATCGATAAGTGATTAATAAAAGTCAAAAGACCAAAGAGGTCACCTTAATAAAAAAATAAAAAATAAAAAAATAAAATTAGAACTTATAAAACCAAATAAAAATACAAACTTTAAAAAAGAATTATTATAATCAACTAGGCCATTGGAATCTGTTTTAGAAAAAAAAGTTATATATCAAAAAATATATAATTTAAAGATATAATTATATCTATCTTTCTAAGTTATCTGAACTAAAAGCTTAATAAAACTTGAATTAAATATCAAAATAGTAAAGATATATTGTAAAGTAAGTATTAGAATTGAAATAAATTCTACAAAAACATAACAGTTTAATAATATATCTTAATTTTAAATATTGATCTTAGTTATAATATTATTGTATTAACTATAATAATAAAATATAAAAAATTCTAGAAAATTTAGTACAAGATCAAAAGTTCTTCATATAAATAAACTCTTTAAAGACTTAATAATCATAACATTTTTTTTTTTTTTATAATTAAAGTTTCTATCTTGAGAATACAATATTTTTATTTAAATATATTAGAACATGTCATACCACCAGGAGTTTACCTTACATTGGAGGTTACAACTAGTCACACATGCACTTTTAATACCTAATTTAAGTAATCCACTTACACATTGTTATATAAGTTCTATATTAATTGCTATATCTGCAAGCCAACTAAAGATTTTGTTTATTTAAACTTTCTGTATATGCAATCCTTCTTGTATCATGAGAACATCTCAAAGCTACACCTATCCAAGTTCCTGATGCTTGTTGTTACCCTTAGAACTAGTTTATTCTCAACAGGAAACTTACTAGAGCCTTTATGTCTCACATATATAAACCTAGTTTTATGCAACACACTATAGTTACCTAACATTTATAATCACAGAGATTACTTGTTTAACTGCTATATTATACTATTTTTATCTTTGTAAAGTTCACTAGAACTTCAGTACCTATTTTCTTGGCATCTTTTTCATTATTCTCTACTAGTTGCAACTCAGAACTGTCAGTCTCATTCCAAACCACCAATTCAGATAACCTGATATAGTATATTCTGTATCATTTTTCTTTGATGAATCTAGTAACCTGGTTGGTTATATGCTTTTCTACACATATTTGATGTCTGATTTTAATCTTTGGTTTCTATAAAGATGTTTCATGAACTTTAACTGGTCTGATGGTATTGTCAAAAGTTCATGCTATCTCTTTACTCAGGAATTTCCAAGTGGGTTTCTGTTACCTCAGTTTTTTAGTATTCTACACCTGATGGTCTTATTGTAGATTTGTACCAAAGTCTTATTCAATACTAATTATATATTTCTCTATATATATGTAATGTTACATTTCACATAGATGCCCAAGCTCCCAATGTTAGTAAAACCTGACTTGGTGTATCTGAATAACAGCCATATGAGGCCAACTGATTAATAGAAGACAGTTACTGCAATGCAGATATAATTTTTAAATTTCATTGTAAGTAGGATTTGAACCTTAGACCTGCCACTTGGAGAATAACAAATCATAATATATTTTTATTAGTATTGACTAAAATCATTGATAGATATAGATAGGCAAGTATATATAAAAGCTAGAGTGTTTAAATAGAGAACTTATAAGTAGGTTCTAAGTATGACAACTAATGTAAAACCTTTAAGCAGACTACTTAAGAATAAAGTACAATGTTAATCATTTTTATATATAATTAGTTGTAAATTTTTATTAGTTTTTTTTTATATTTAATTTTTTGAAAAAATATATTAAATAAATAAATTTTAATTCTTATATAAAAGTTATATAGTAGGTCTTTCTGATTTTAATGATAGCAAAATTATTAAAATTGAATAAAAACTTATTGAGATATGAGTTTTTAAACATTAGTCTATAAAATTGTATAATAAAATTAACTTATAGATTTATGTAAATTAGCCAATCAAATTATCTAATTTTATATTACTTAAGCAAATTTAGGCAAACTTTATCATATATACAAGTATATTTTTTTAAAATAATATAATAGTTCAAAATTTTACTATAATAGATAAAATAATTTTATTTATAATATTATAAAATTTTTTTATTAATTAATTAAAAAATAAAAAAATTTTATTAGTAATATATTTTGCAGTTACTATATAAATTTTTTTTTGCAACTAATTATATATAGAAATAATCTATGTTATACTCTATGTTATACTCTATTCTTAAATTAGACAATAACTAAAATTGTACAAGTGATTAGTTGTACACTTTTTTCATAGTTGCCCCTTATGATTGTAATGCAACCATTAGCTGAATATACTATCAATAAAATCCTGAATTGCAAGTACTCACCCTAGTATTTAAAAAAAAAAAAGAATCTTAATAAAGTACTAGCATAACTGTTTAAGATTAAAAAAAAAATTAACAAAAAATAAATAATTTTTTTTTTTATGTATTTGAATAATTTAAAATATTTGCAGTTTTTTTTTAAATTTACAAAAAATTTGATAGCAGTTTAAGCTTTGGTTGTTTATTTATAAAATTTGCTTCAAAAAGTTTTTTAAGGTTATAATTTTATTTTAATATTTGTTTCGTTTTACAAATTTAAACCAAGTCATGTTATTTTCTCTCTATAAATACACATCTCCCAATAATGTGTACTTATAGAGAGTCGACAGTATACTTTTTTAAAAATAAGATTAAAAAAAAGTTTTGATTTTAAATAATAATATTATTATTTTACTTTTAACAAAATTTTTAAAAATCATTATTTTTTCATAATTTGACTTGACAAACAGCAATTGAGAATGCAACTTGTTTATTAGTTGCATTATCTAAAGACCAAATTTTAGATAATATTTGAGACACATAGATACCTTCAAAACTATCTAAACAAACCCCAAAAACTGTTATAAAATGTATACCCTGGTCACTATATCAAAACAGCAAAATATAAATTATGCTCCGAATACTATGTGTATAAGCGGAAATCTTATACCCAACTCCAGGATATAACTATTAATAATCCTATTTTTACCAAAGTAAATAAAGTCGTCGGAAGTGTTATGATACGATCACATAAATAGAATTAGTGTTAGATAAAGATTAATAATAAATTTCTAGCTTGGCCAGAGTTTGATATCTGGATTTGGCGGCAAGCGTAAGTCTCAAGCTACAATATTATGCAATTTTAAGCGTCTTGATTAATAATACGTTTATTGTAAAGAACACAATAAAAAATGCCTCCTAAAGGTCTAGTGGTAAAATTCTATATTTTGTTCCGAAGATAATCATTTAATATCTAAATATTTAACCATATAATCGCTGAATGATAGGTGGAATTTCAGTGTTAAGTGTTAAAATTTCATACTAGCGACGCAAGATAATTATCTCTGCTGTAGCACAATTTAGTTATTGATAAAATTTTCACAAATATTGGCAACATTCCGAGTAGTTACATTAAATTGATGTCGCATAAACACACCTAGATTGCGTAACGATCACCAAAATACTTTAGCGAATTCACAAAATGAGTTGAAATAACATGAGCTATCGAAAGCAAAACGGGTAAAGATAATGCTATAATGAAGCAATAGATGACATCATTCTTTTAACTTTTTGATCTCGGCGTCGATGTCATCAACAAATTCCTTAAGCTTATTCCATTGATCAACTTGCAAACTTATGCCTATAGCATAAAATAACAATTAATAACGGTAGCAAGAATACATGGCAAAGGATAAGTAACAATAATACCCTGTGATCTTGGATATAGTGATTTACCTTTTTTTCCTGGAAGATATTCTCCGTTTTGTTTAAAGTAATCACGAATATCGACCAAAATCATTTCCTTAAATTCACGAACAGTGACACGTCTTTTCTCGGAGAGCTAAAAATAGATAATTCTCTTAATAAGATATGGAAAAAAAATGGTGAATTACATGATTTATTCTAACCTTGAAATATGCTTCACCCTGATCATTTTCTCCACGATCATCTTTATTGCTTCGACCTTTAGACTTCTTTGGAGCGGGACTGTCATCACTGTCCTCGTCTTCATGTTTTTTGGTCTTTGCTTTTTTAGCTTTCGAAGTTTTTTTTTTTTGCTAAGCATTTGAAATATTTATATATTAGAAGCGAAAGCTCTAAAAGCATGTATAAAGATAAATATAAAGGGATGAAGCTAACTATATACTTTTGGTTCGTCACTTTCTTGTTTGTCTGACTCAGCCTCGTTTTCCATATCATCTTGATCCTTGGCCTAAATGAAACATTAGTTTTCGCGTCTTCAAAATTTTTACGAAACTATAAAGCGTAAATTTTACAACCTTATAATCAGAGTCCTCGTCATCACTCACTCTTACATTTACATTTTTTCTCTTAAACATTTTTAATGGCTGAAACACTGAAAATAAGAATTTGTTACGTACGCGAAATGAGAATAAATAGGTGATGGGCTGCTGACGTAAATCAATTGCCCGGGTAACTTATTTATACTGTTTAAAGTACTTTTTGAGAATGTAACGTTTCACTAATAAAAAATCACCAGAAACTTCCTCAGAAACTTCACTTAGAAGCAAATTTATTGTGAGGGACCAACATGGGGTTGGTTTCAACGTGAAGTCAATTAGTATTTTTTATGATTATATATTAATCATTGGCGGTTTTAAATTTTTTTTTTTTTTTTTGGTATTAAGGTGAGGTTTTAAATATTAATTGACTTCATGTTTGAAAATTTCATATAAAATTGATATTTTTTTTTTTTTTAATGTTAAGTACTTGTGACTTGGAATTTTATTGATAATATGTTTTGGCTAGTAGTTGTTGTGTGTAATAATCACAAGAACAATCATGAAAAGAGTGTTCAATTAGTCATTCATACAATTTTAGTTATTGTTTAATTTAAGTAGTTTGTTCAAAAGTTTTATACTAATTTTTAAACCTAAAATTTGTATATAAATCTTCTATTTAAATATTCTAAATTTTATATTCATTTTGCTTTATTAACAATTTTAGTAAACTGGTAAAGATATATATGTTATAATCACTAAGTCATATTTAATATTATATTAAACTTATTAAAGAGATATAGTAATTTAGTAAAGTGAATAAGTTGTTAACTTTTCAAATGATAGATTATAAGTTTAAAACTTATTGATGGCAAAAATTTGGATAATCATCTATATAATATTTATATATTATGACAATAGTTTTTCTGTTAATTAGTTGAGATAAGATACTTGTAACTATGATTACACTAATATAACTAGTAAATCATAAAGCATCTGTGTAATTAAAGTTATACAAAAAAATGAAAATTGATATTGGTAATACAAATCTAAGATAAGTTCTTGTGACTGTGTAAATTTATAGAACAGAAAAACTAAAGTTTATTTGAGAAAACCTGAATAAAGAGATAACATAAATTTTTAACAGTATTACTGTTATTATAGATAAAAGTCTTCTTAATTTTCATACTATAATGATAACATGACACAGGGAATCTCTTATAGGTATATGTGGTATTTAAGAGAGAAGTATAGTTTCTGTTAGATATTGTCAAGAAACTATATCCTTCTCTGAGACAGTTCAGGAAAGGTAATGTAATACTAATAACTTTAGTTTAATTCATTAAGAGGAGATAAACCTTGCCTATAGAAATTATCCTAAAAAAGGAGTATCAATACAGTTTATAGTCAAAAACTGTTTATTAAAGTAATAACAAAAAGGGTTATCCTTAGGTTTCTGTTCCTAAAGAATTCCAAGATGTGTTTACAATATTAAAGAGAAAAAGTGTATTTTTTACTTAATTGTACTTAAAGAATTTAGCAGAATTTATATATCTGTGAGCTAAATGGCTAAGTGACCAAGTGACTAAGTGATTAAGTGACTAAGTGACTAAGCATTAAGTGACTAAGTGACTAAGTGACTAATTGATTACTAAGCAACCAGAAGGTTCTAGCAACTAATGACTAATAATTATTAAGCAACTAATGACTAATAATTACTAAGCAACTAATTACTAAGTGACTGAGCAGCTAAGCAACTAAGCAACTAAGTAATTATTAATCAACCAGAAAGTTCTAGCAACTACTAGTAATAATAATAATATAATAATAGAATAACTAATATTAAATAATAATAATAATTCATTTTATAACATTTCTGTCTACTTTAAAATTTTACTCTGTAAATTTTATGTTCCAATCGATTTAAGAAATTGAATGTACTTATCATCTAGCAACTTGATAATATATGTCGCAGTCATATATTTCAACTGTAGAGTTATTTCTTTTGATCACAACTCAAGAACTTCATATATTCTGAAAGCATCTTTCTAAGTATCTTTTGCTTTTCTTGTTACTTGAGTATTTTGGATAAGATCTTTAATCTTTGAAGGGTTATTGGACTTTGATATTATTTGTCCTAGGTAATAGTAAGTTTCAATTTTTCTATTGAGATTATGTTGAATATATTCAGGATTGGATAAGAACTTTAAGATTCAATTAACTTGTTCTTTTCATATTCTTCTAGAAAAAGGGTTGGTTATGCTTCGAGTTGTTGATTCTGTTGTCTGTTTTAAATCATTTATTAATTGAGTTAAATGGTTAGTATTATTACTTTCTAATTCTGTAGGTACTTCATTAAGCAGAGTTTCAATTAGAAAAAGTTGTATTTCTTCTAATTGTAGAAATTTATTGATATTGAATTCTACAAGGGCTTTTATTATAGGATTTAAGTTGATAACTTTTTCTGGTTCTTTATTACTCCAAAAAATAATATTTTAAGGTGATATATCTAAGTGATTTTGAGATATGAGATCCTGTTTCCAGATTTAGAGAAAGTTGTTTAAAGCAATTACTGTTTTTGGTTGTAATTTTAAGAATTCTATTTTTAGGAATATTTGTATGATTCAAGAGTGTTTATATAAATTTTCAAGTATCACAATCTTTGAATAAATTGTACATTAAAAAATTTGTATAATATTATTGTCTTTTCCTTCAGTTTTAGATATTTCTTTCAGAAATTTCAATTATTCAATAAGAACAAAAGGTTTTTAAGTTTATTTTTATAATATTTAGCAAGTTAATCACTATTATAGTATTTTTGCAACATTTTTCCTTTATCATTACAAAGTTTATAAGCATTATTATTTAATTTTTCTTGAATAATAAAGAGTTCAGTTCTCTTATCTTCAAATTTAGCTGATCAAGAATGTTCTGTCTTTTTTAATTATTTATACTTTGTTACTAATTTTAAAAGTTTCATGATAGATTTTGGCATTGAAGTATTCTTTCTATTTCTGTTGCAATTTATGGGTCTTTTTTTTTGCATTATTTTGCAATTCAGATAGCTTGTCAATAAGCTCAAATGCTTGGTACAATATGCTATCTTGTAAGACATACTCTGTTTCTTCATGAAGTTCAACAGGTAATAAGACTTTAATTGGAAGAACAGCTTGTTATCTATATACAAGCTAAAAGAGAGTATATTCAGTTATAGCATGCTTCTTTGTTCAATAAACAAGCAGTATAGCAGGTATATGTAAGTCCCAGTCATCATTTTCTTTTAATTTAGCAATTGATTCATATAAGGTTCAATTAAGACATTCAACTATTTCATTTATTTGTCAATGGTATGGTGAAGAGAACTTATGCTTAATAAGAAACTTTTTATATAGAATGTGAACAGTTTCATTAATAAAATTTTTTTTTTGATCAGAGAGAATAATCTTTGATATTCCATGTTGACAAATAATTTCTTTAAAAATAAACTGAGCTAAGGTATTTGCTCTAACATCAGATACAGCATGAGCTTCTGGCCATCTTGTTAAATAGTCAGTAGCAACAATAATATATCAATTATTTTGTTTAGTAATTGGTAGTGGTCCTACTAAGTCAATTCCAATTCATTTGAAGGCTTATTCTATTTGGATAGGATGAAGAGGTTCAGTTTATTTGCCTTTTAGTCTCTTTTGGCATTCTTTATATGTTCTAATATATTCTTATACATCTTGATACATTTGGTCCCAATAATATCATTCAGCTATTTTATAATACATAGCATCTGTTTTTAAGTGTCCTGTGATAGGATGTTTATGCATCATATACAGAACAGGTTCTACTTTATTTCATTTAACAACATGAAGAGAGTACTAAGAGTTCTTTTTGTTTTTCTTATATAATAGTTCTTTTTTAATAATAAAATGTTTAGTATAATGTTATATTTGTTTAATTTGTTTCTAAGATAAAAAGTCAAATAACTTGTCTGATTTTATATAATTATATAAATTATAATAAAGATCCAAATTTATGAGAAAGAATTTTGGTATAAGGTCTGTGTCTGTAGTTGAGATTGGGCATCTACATTGGAGTGAACTCTTTCTGGTTTATGAATAATTTCAAAGTTATAGAGCTGGAGTTTTGGAATTCATCTTCTTAGGCATCCTTTAGATTCAGCAGATTGTAACCACTTGAGAGCAGAATGGTCAGTAATTAGAATGAATTTGGCAGTTCCAAGATATTTGTGAAAATGTTCAATAGCCTATACAACTGCAGCACATTCGAGTTCAGTGGTATTATAATTGACTTTTTCTTTGGTTAAGCTTTTATTAGTATAGGTTACAGGGTGTTCCTTTCTGTTTCTATCCAATTGACTAAGAGTAGTTCTGAATCTATTATAAGAGGCATCAATAGCTAAGATGAATAACCTATCAAAGTCAGAATACTTTAATATAGAGGCTATAGTCAGTTTCTGTTTCAATTTTTCAAAAGCTTTCTGTTGTGGTTTATTCTATATATAAGAAGTTTTTTTGCATAGTAGCTGATTTAAAGGCTGTACTACTTTAGAGAAGTTATAAATAAACTGTCAATAGTAATCTACTAGTCCTAAGAATGAATATAGTTGGGTTACATTATTAGGTAGTTGGATCTTCTGAATAGCTTCTATTTTTTGAGAGTCAGGTGCTATTCCAATTGAGATAACTATATGTTCTAAGAATGGTAGACTTTGCATTCAAAAATTACACTTTTCTAAATTTAATCGTAAATCAGCTTTTCTGATTTTAATAAAAGTTTGTTATAAATATTTTAAATGTTTATTGAAAGTCTTGAAATATACTATAGTATCATCAAAGTAGACTACTACAAATTTCTATGCAATGTCTTGGTATACTCTATTCATTAATCATTAAAAGGTTACAAGTGCATTACATAGTCTAAAAAGCATTACATTAAATTCATAAATACTATATTAAGTTACAAATGCAGTTTTCTTTTTATCTGTAGAATGCATAGCAACTTGTTAATATTCATTTGCAAGATCAAGTATAAAAAACCACTTGGATCCTTTTAAGGTATTAAGCATTTTATCAATGCAAGATAAGAGA